AAACGATAACGAACATCGCGTGAAAGAAGGACTTTGCGAATGTCTGAACCCAATAAGTTCACTCCCAACCTAGATCATCCTACATAGAGTTACCCCCAAAGATCATGAGGAAACAGACCTCAGCATCATCGTCAAAAAGTCTTGGGATTGATGATGAGGGATAAATCTACATGGGTTAATATTAAGTGTAAAAATAACGAGGATATTTTTCAATAACATAGGTCCGAAGGAGTTGTGCTAGATCGAGCAAACTCTTGCAGCTGAAGACAATGTTGATAATCTGTATGAAGCCTCTCGAGGGCGAGACTGATGATGTATTGTACACACACCTGCAGGCTGCTTCCTCAGTACTCGATGCTGGTCCGCGTGAAGACTTCTCCTATTTCTTGAATATTGCCGTCGCTCTGGAAATTTCAAGTGAAATTAATTTATGCCAGCATATTTGATTGAGATAATATTAATAGAGTCTTTTATTATTTTTTCAACATTTATCATCACATCATCTTGAAGAAAACATTCAATTTAAACCGTACGAAAGTTCTGTTTATCACGGTTGATTTTGTAAGGCTGAAAACCACAAATATAATGAGGCAAACCGGAAACGGTTGGAAAAAAGCAAGATATCTTTAACTGAAATAACTTGGGAATATTATTTTATCGTTCAGATACGACATTATATAAAAGCAGCCCCAGACCTTCTGTACAATTCAGATTTGAAAAATCATGTGAGTAGTACACATCTCTCTCGGTTTTTAAAATTATATACTGATATTTTGTTATAGGAGTCGCGAATATGTGAGGAGGGTCGTTTGGCCCAACATCGTGGTAAGCATGAGCCTAGAAGGCTCATTCTGCTACCCGATGAGGCCGTCACCCCGGCTACGGTTAGGGTGACCATTAACCGGCGGACAGGGGCTAGATCTGTCTCGGTGTAGGTGAAGCAAAAATCAAATTGAAGTAATTTTAATAATAATAAATAATTTCAGGGTGAAAGATGCGAGATATGTTTATGTGTAAGTATACAATATATCCACTTTTCGATAATTTTCAATTTATTTTTAGCTATATAATAATAACAGACCCCAACACCATGGAGGAGGTGTTAAGCAACTACCCGTAAGTATACTACATGAACAATATAGACATATTTTACCCCTCCTTTTTTTTAGTATACATCTGATATCCGAGTAGAGAGGAAAAGTGGATTAGGCCTCCTGGGGATACCACTATAAAAAAAACGCGCCAACAGACTTACCTCAAGGGTGGTGAAGGAAACAGTCTGAATACGCTTGGATACAGCATGGAAGAAGCCTCTCTACTCTTCGTGCAACACAGGGCGTTGTGGTTAGGGGCGATGACACGTTCGCCTGTGAAAAAAAGGAACGTAAATTCGTGGAAGAAAAATACAAAAACCCAACATTCTTCCTCTCCCACATACACACATGCTATCAATTTCATACATAAACTGATGACTCATCCCGACTTCATGTTTTTAGCAAGAGCACCCCAATTTCCTAATTATCGTCTGTACATAGGGTATAAGGAGTTTTTGGGGAAAATAGATTTGAACGATATGAATACTCCTGCACAGTCGGAAGTACTTAATGAATATCTTCCGCCATCATTGAAAAACTCGCAGGTTTCTCATGTCTTTCAAAATTCTAAAGGTTGTTTAGTTACACTCGTAAATAAAACATATTACGCTGTAGACTTTCCAAATTTACAAATTCGACACAAAATAATATTTTCTCTGCCCACCAATGCACAGATAAACGCTGTGTTTCAAACTAACAGTGGTCAGTCTTATTTACTATACAATAACGATTCCTACATTGAGTTCGATGAAATTGGAAAAACAATCAGTCGTGGGCCTCTCAATTATGCTTTTCCAGGGATCCCATCGGGAATAATATCGGTGTTTCGATATACTGACGCAAACATATACTTTTTTCACCAAAAACACATATTACAAGTACAGCGAGTATACAAGGAAGGTTTTGGACGCTGGAGAATTTAACTGGACTGTTTTTGGAATACCCTGCACTAAGACAGAATTATTATCCCAATTGAAGAGGTTATTAACAAAAATTGTATCTATTTATGAATAAATTATTATTTCTTGAAGGTTTTTATTTAATGGTATGGAAAACTGGTAATATCAGAATGATGAAAAAAAGTTACAGATTGTATTCTGTATTCTGAGGTAAAACGATAACAAATAGTTGTGTGTGTGTATTCTCTGGCAGAAAATATTGCGTTCTATTTAGCAGCTGCGGTTTGAAATTGCGGTTTTCAAAACGATAACAAACGATAGCGAGCTCGGCGAAAAGTGTGCTTGTTTTCACAATTTGTGTATTTCAAGACCGATATAGGAAATTCAGAAAATAACATGAGTACTTATGGAAAATACGTAAAAATTCTACAGAGGATGGGGCCTTTGAAAACAGACATTATTTAATGAAAATCGCTATCATTCTTGCGGTTTCGCGGGGGACTATAAATATTGGGGACGCTCCAGCAATCGTTCTCTTTATCTGTTTGTATTGCTGACGATTAGAGCTAGGTGAGTATTGTAGGCGAGTTTGTTTTGATCTTGCCATTTGTTTCGTGGGCGTTTATTTAATTACATCTCGCTCACAACCCCTTTTAATTTCGTCTATATATACCAGTCTCGTGGGGTGTTTAGCTTATAGTTTGTTCAAGCGTTCTTTGTTACGGTTGTGCGTTTGAAATCTTTGATTTTTTTGATTTTTTGAACATATTTGTGTTTTGAGGTGAATATGGAGAAATTTCTAATCGTGAAGGACATTGTCAAGAAAGCTCGTCGTTTCGGTGTTTAAGCCGCACGAGTTTGACTGATAGATGGACGATATCCTATCAAAAATATCGTCCATCGAAACGTCAGAGGCTTTTTTGAATGCCATCCAACCCTGACCCCTCGCGAAATCTTTCGAGCAGAAGGTGAAACCAACGTAATCGGATGATTCCAACCCATCGGTTCCTTTCTGCACAATCTGAGTGATTGCATCCTTCACCCAACTCACAGGTTCGACGTCCGAAGGTATAGGTTTGATATTAAACTCTAAAGTACGCCCCTGCACACCGAAACGACGAGCTTTCTTGACAATGTCCTTCACGATTAGAAATTTCTCCATATTCACCTCAAAACACAAATATGTTCAAAAAATCAAAAAAATCAAAGATTTCAAACGCACAACCGTAACAAAGAACGCTTGAACAAACGATAAGCTAAACACCCCACGAGACTGGTATATATAGACGAAATTAAAAGGGGTTGTGAGCGAGATGTAATTAAATAAACGCCCACGAAACAAATGGCAAGATCAAAACAAACTCGCCTACAATACTCACCTAGCTCTAATCGTCAGCAATACAAACAGATAAAGAGAACGATTGCTGGAGCGTCCCCAATATTTATAGTCCCCCGCGAAACCGCAAGAATGATAGCGATTTTCATTAAATAATGTCTGTTTTCAAAGGCCCCATCCTCTGTAGAATTTTTACGTATTTTCCATAAGTACTCATGTTATTTTCTGAATTTCCTATATCGGTCTTGAAATACACAAATTGTGAAAACAAGCACACTTTTCGCCGAGCTCGCTATCGTTTGTTATCGTTTTGAAAACCGCAATTTCAAACCGCAGCTGCTAAATAGAACGCAATATTTTCTGCCAGAGAATACACACACACAACTATTTGTTATCGTTTTACCTCAGAATACAGAATACAATCTGTAACTTTTTTTCATCATTCTGATATTACCAGTTTTCCATACCATTAAATAAAAACCTTCAAGAAATAATAATTTATTCATAAATAGATACAATTTTTGTTAATAACCTCTTCAATTGGGATAATAATTCTGTCTTAGTGCAGGGTATTCCAAAAACAGTCCAGTTAAATTCTCCAGCGTCCAAAACCTTCCTTGTATACTCGCTGTACTTGTAATATGTGTTTTAGGTGAAAAAAGTATATGTTTGCGTCAGTATATCGAAACACCGATATTATTCCCGATGGGATCCCTGGAAAAGCATAATTGAGAGGCCCACGACTGATTGTATTTCCAATTTCATCGAACTCAATGTAGGAATCGTTATTGTATAGTAAATAAGACTGACCACTGTTAGTTTGAAACACAGCGTTTATCTGTGCATTGGTGGGCAGAGAAAATATTATTTTGTGTCGAATTTGTAAATTTGGAAAGTCTACAGCGTAATATGTTTTATTTACGAGTGTAACTAAACAACCTTTAGAATTTTGAAAGACATGAGAAACCTGCGAGTTTTTCAATGATGGCGGAAGATATTCGTTAAGTACTTCCGACTGTGCAGGAGTATTCATATCGTTCAAATCTATTTTCCCCAAAAACTCCTTATACCCTATGTACAGACGATAATTAGGAAATTGGGGTGCTCTTGCTAAAAACATGAAGTCGGGATGAGTCATCAGTTTATGTATGGAATTGATAGCATGTGTGTATGTGGGAGAGGAAGAATGTTGGGTTTTTGTATTTTTCTTCCACGAATTTACGTTCCTTTTTTTCACAGGCGAACGTGTCATCGCCCCTAACCACAACGCCCTGTGTTGCACGAAGAGTAGAGAGGCTTCTTCCATGCTGTATCCAAGCGTATTCAGACTGTTTCCTTCACCACCCTTGAGGTAAGTCTGTTGGCGCGTTTTTTTTATAGTGGTATCCCCAGGAGGCCTAATCCACTTTTCTTCTCTACTCGGATATCAGATGTATACTAAAAAAAAGGAGGGGTAAAATATGTCTATATTGTTCATGTAGTATACTTACGGGTAGTTGCTTAACACCTCCTCCATGGTGTTGGGGTCTGTTATTATTATATAGCTAAAAATAAATTGTAAATTATCGAAAAGTGGATATATTGTATACTTACACATAAACATATCTCGCATCTTTCACCCTGAAATTATTTATTATTATTAAAATTACTTCAATTTGATTTTTGCTTCACCTACACCGAGACAGATCTAGCCCCTGTCCGCCGGTTAATGGTCACCCTAACCGTAGCCGGGGTGACGGCCTCATCGGGTAGCAGAATGAGCCTTCTAGGCTCATGCTTACCACGATGTTGGGCCAAACGACCCTCCTCACATATTCGCGACTCCTATAACAAAATATCAGTATATAATTTTAAAAACCGAGAGAGATGTGTACTACTCACATGATTTTTCAAATCTGAATTGTACAGAAGGTCTGGGGCTGCTTTTATATAATGTCGTATCTGAACGATAAAATAATATTCCCAAGTTATTTCAGTTAAAGATATCTTGCTTTTTTCCAACCGTTTCCGGTTTGCCTCATTATATTTGTGGTTTTCAGCCTTACAAAATCAACCGTGATAAACAGAACTTTCGTACGGTTTAAATTGAATGTTTTCTTCAAGATGATGTGATGATAAATGTTGAAAAAATAATAAAAGACTCTATTAATATTATCTCAATCAAATATGCTGGCATAAATTAATTTCACTTGAAATTTCCAGAGCGACGGCAATATTCAAGAAATAGGAGAAGTCTTCACGCGGACCAGCATCGAGTACTGAGGAAGCAGCCTGCAGGTGTGTGTACAATACATCATCAGTCTCGCCCTCGAGAGGCTTCATACAGATTATCAACATTGTCTTCAGCTGCAAGAGTTTGCTCGATCTAGCACAACTCCTTCGGACCTATGTTATTGAAAAATATCCTCGTTATTTTTACACTTAATATTAACCCATGTAGATTTATCCCTCATCATCAATCCCAAGACTTTTTGACGATGATGCTGAGGTCTGTTTCCTCATGATCTTTGGGGGTAACTCTATGTAGGATGATCTAGGTTGGGAGTGAACTTATTGGGTTCAGACATTCGCAAAGTCCTTCTTTCACGCGATGTTCGTTATCGTTTGATGTTGCAAAACCTATATTGAAGCGACATATTCAGACATAGCCTGAATATATTGCCTCATATTTACATAAAGGTAAAGTTTCACAACTATCAGACATCGTCCCCTCATAATATCTTGTCTACAGCTCCGAGACCCCTTAATTTTTACTAAAATACCTCTAACAGTTCGCACATCGGTTTCGAGCTTTTTGGTTCTCATCAGTGTAGGGCGATCATCATGACGCCTGTCCTGTTTCCGATTGTTTGATACTTCGTGGAAATAGGCGCGAGTCTTCTCATTTTTTTTTCATCTAATGGGTTTTTCAAAGAACATCATCCATTTTCCTGATTGAGCCTTGTTTTAAATCTCGGAAGTTTTTTAAAATCAATTCTGCTGATACTTTCCTTGTTGGTATAGATGCCAACAGTCTTGCCGTTTTGAATCTAGGATGGTTTTGGGAAATACATCATCCACTTTCCAGTTTGAGCTTTGTTGATCCTCTTTCGCATGTTCTCCATGGTCTTCCCAAAGACGGTGTTGTTCATAAGCTTAAAAAGGTTTTTTTCAAACTCATTTTTAGCGTTTTTACGAAGTTCTGTATTAAGATCTATGTATGACTTTAACCATGTAGATTGTTTGAACTTCAGCACTTTATGCATCTTCTTCAATACTAAACCGTGTGGTGAACACTGTTTCTGCATTCGGTAGTGAATAATATATTTCTCTTTACAGTTATGCATAGACCATGAATGGGGCTTTTTCTTTGTTCTTGTGGTTTTTGAATTTTAATATATTTTTGCCTGGGTCAGGCATCTTTATCGCTGTCCCATTTATTCTCACACAATTCTTCATATATTTATGGAGCTTCTCTTCAGTGTGGAAATAGTGGAGGCAGCAGTCGCAAAAGTATTTACGCCCATCCTCTTTACTCAGCTGAGTAGAAAGAAATCTAGACAGATCGTTTATCCAACAATAGTGATACTTGTTGGGTGCAGGAATCACGCCATTATCGACATCCTCTTGATCAAAATACAGCATGCTTGTCTCTCTTGTTCTTAGCTCAGTATTCAAAGCGCTGTTAAGATCTATGTGTGCTTTCAACCACGCCGATTGTTTGAATTTCATCACTTTATGTATCTTCTTCAATACTAAACCGTGTGGTGAAGTCTGTTTCTGCGCTCGGTGGTGAATAATATATTTCTCTTTACAGTTATGCATAGGCTGGAGTGGTTCTTTTTCTCTCTTTGCCTTCTGTACTAGCGCGAATGTCTCATTTATTCTCACACAATTCTTCATATATTTATTGAACTCATCTTCAGAATAAAAATAGTGTAAACAGTGGCCATAGATGTATTTTCGCCCATTTTCTTTGCTCAGCTGTTTCGAAAGAAGCTTGGAGAGATCTTTGATCCACACATACTGATAGTTGATGGGGGCTGAAAGCCTTTCACAAGCATCTTTCTCATCAAAGTATTAACCCTGAATGAGTAGGAGATTGACATGCTTCTCTACCTTATTTTTGAGAGATTTACCTTCGGGGTGACTATCTTCTTCTTTATTTTGCTTAAAACATAAACATTTATCGATATACTATTCTGTTTCTCGAATCAGGGGTGATCCTTACACTGGTGTACTCCTAATAAACAAATTGAATGGCTAGCTTCTTCTTCGTTTTGCTTAAAACATAAACATTTATCGATATACTATTCTGTTTCTCGAATCGGGGATTCTGCTTGCTCAAGATGTTGCACGGAGGACCAGGGTTCAAGATCATATTTTTGATCGAATCGAAATTAATCACTTGGGAGGCTGCGTAATTGAGAGATAGGCCTTTAACCTTACAAGTAATTTGGAACTGTTGCTCACTAGTTGACCAGACTTTATAATCGTAATTCTTTGGTCCATCAGATACAGGGTACTGCATTCACCGAGGTGAATCTGTGCTTGCTATCATCCCCTGCGATATTAGAAGATTCTGCCCCTTATGTTATATTTTTATTCAATACATTTACTTATACTCTACAATATTATTTTTTGTCATATATATTGTTACTTCTTCGAAATATTCTCAAAATGTTCAGGTGAACCTCGTAATTCAACCGATATTGAAACATTGGGTTTCTGTGGAGGTCTATGAAAAGAGAGGCGAATCCTGATCAGAAGACATATTACCTGTGATGGATTTTTCACTTGAACTTTTTAAAAATATTGTTGTTGTACGCACACTGAGACCTTGTGTCTCACAGCCTACCGCAGTTTCAGATCATGCCATAAGGAGACGTCGCGCTACCCAGTTGCCCACTCATCAGCTCAGCCTTCTGATGGTGCAGCCGTAGATGAGGACTGATGAAGCACAGCCCTAAACTACGAGAAATGAACTTCTCTGCAGACTTCTCGTCGATTCGACTTGATGGCCTCAGCGACAAGTCGACAGGTTCAGCTCAAGAGGACCCCATAACCGTATAAATGTAATGAAAGACGAAAGCTTTTTATATCGTTTATTCAAATATTATGATATTACATTGGCATTCTTGAGTTCGTTAATAATCAATGAGATTTCTTCATTATCATCGTGTTCGTTTGCTCCAATCAGATATCTTAGTCTGTCAACCAAGATATTTGGGTCCTCCCAATTATCTAGAATATCGTAGATCGTTTCAGCCTGCTTCTCCCTTCTCGATCTATGTTGTGATGTGACATCAGGCTCTTCTCTCACCCTGACACTTCGTTTAGGTCTGGTCTTATTTTTGAAGAGGGGTCTGATAATTTTATCGAATTTAGCCTTGTTAGCAAGTCCCCTCAAACGGCCTAGGGCGTCGCGATGAACATTGGTGCTTTCCACTATCTGTTTATATGCATGGTGATCCATAGGCGTATAGATTTTAGGATTTTTGGAAAATATCGATTCCAAAAGACCCAAAGTACTTTTAAAATTGACATCATCTACAACTATATCTTTATCGACAAAACGTAGTTTCTTATTTCCAAGTATCCATTCACCATCGGCATATTTTGGCCCATAAGCATTATCATAATCTGTACAATGATATTTATATACTGTTTGCTCTGCTGACTGCTCTTCTCTTTCCTCAGGCTCCATTGGCGCGAGGTGGTGGTGCTCCTTTGTCGGTTGCTGTTGAACTAGTCTGACTGCTACCAAGTCCTATTTATAGCCGGCTGAAGACTTTTGAATACATCTGAAGACATCTGAATACATCTGAAGACCTCTGAATACCTCTGAAGACTTCTGAATACCTCTGAAGGCGTGATCTGAAGACCTCTGAAGACATCTGAAGACATCTGAAGACATCTGAAGGCGTGATCTGAAGCGATCTGAAACGCTTTGAAGCACTTTGAAGCCGTCTGAAACGTTTGAAGCTGTCATCATCGGCCGTCATAGTTATACAAGATAATAAATATTACTATAGGGTAATTTCGAGAACGACAACTGTTTTCTTTGTAACTATAATAAATACAGATATCCTTATTGAGTTTCAATACCCCATCCTACAAAGAATCTTGAATCTTGTATGGAAACTTGCCGTTTTCAGCATAGCACAACGCTGGGTGATTTCTCATGTTGTTATTTTGTTCATAGGTGTGTTTCAGAAATGTTAGTGAAAAGGTAGAGTACCCACTACACGACCCCCCCCTTTTTTTGTCATGATATCTCTATAGTACAGCAAATGCGTAGTTCTGTGTCACAGAACGCACACACTACGTTGGTACTATAGGTGATGATTGATTCACAACAGCACCTATAGTACGGCCAATGCTTAGTCGTTGAAATTATATCACAGAACACTGTGTTGATACTTTAGGTAATGATTTTTTCACAACAGATGGCAGCACCTATAGTACGGCCATTGAAATTATGCCACAGAACGCGAACACTCTGTTGGTACTGTGGGTGATGGATATTTCACAACAGATAGCAGCACTATAGTACGGCCAATGGTTAGTTCTGTGTCATAGAACGCGCACATCATGTTGGTACTGTAGGTAATGATTGTTTCACAACAGATGGCTGCACCGTAGCTTATAGCCAAACAGATACGTCTACATTTTGTACGATCCTTTCTTTAATGGAGGGTTCGAATTTCGCGCCAACGACATAAATCGAGGATCCATATGATAACGCCAGCATTCTCATATTTACATGAACCATTACACGAACATCGTTTGAATTTCCCGCCAAATCGCGAGGGCTAGGGACTTATTTCAAATAGAGGCTCCTGCTTGGTCGACAGGCAGGCGGTGAGAGGTGGAGGGGGAGAGAGAAAAAGTGGAGGGGGTGTCCCATACCGTCCGAGTACCTACTGTTGAGCAACCAGATAATGAATAATATTAGTTGTTATCCCAGACTGAAAGACCTAAATTTACCTTATAAAGATGTTGTGAGTTGGAGTGTCATATCAATAAACAAATAAAACAGTCATATACAATACCCAAAACATTTAATTTTGATGATAGGACTCATATATCATATCACATGGTTTTGACAAATATGCATAAATCAAAAGAATATTAGATAACTTATTTCCTGTTAAGAAATTACACTGTTGCCTGCTATTTTGTGGATGAAAATATATATAAATCAACTTTATATTGTACTTGAAAACTCGAGAGCTCCTGTAAGTCATAGCAGATTTAAAAAATATTGAAAATGGAAGAATTCTACCAGCGCATAGTATACTATGTGGAGGGGAAGTATGTACCTTTCATGTGTGATTTCATCAATTTTTGACCTAGCTATGATTTAAAAATTGTCCATTATACACACTAGCAATAGGCATTATGAGTGAATAAAAATGAAAAATAAAAATATATTTTTATGTCAAAAACCTGTATGGTGTGTCCTACACCAGTTATCCTTGATAAAAATGGCTTCAGTGCCACCAAATGAAGCTTCTGAGGGGAAGATTGGCGGAGAGCGGGGTGCTGACTTCACATCCCTGGATGTCAGATGACATTGACAGAGTTGTCGTATTTCCACCTTGAAAATCCATCATATCAGGAACAAGTAGGGGACAATATCCAGATTCCAGACTACCATACAGCCACCAAAGGCCTTGTAGAATTAACAGATCCTGGTCGAGCAATGACTCCTGGGAAGAATAGTGCTCCTGGTAGGATAACTCCCGTTGTAGAACTCCCGGTAAAAAAACTCCCGGTAGAAAACTCCCAGTGAAAAAACCCTTAAATAATTCATGAAATGAGGTTCTGAATTTCTGGACTGCAGAGAGAAAAAACGTAATAATGCGAGACTCACCTTCTATGAAGGGTTAGGGATTGAAATGACGATGAAGGTAGGCACGTGGCTGCCTGGGTGATGAACCATGAAGATCCTGCCTCTTAAACCAAAACCAGAAGAAATCTGTAGAGTCCAGCAGTACTTGTAGATCAGCAGCAAATCCAGGATATCCTGATGTGATCCAGAATGCCAGGCGGTACAGGACTTCAGAAGCCGGTTCACACCACAAAAATGGCACTTGACCACCACGAAGAATTTTCTGAAGTGAGCTCTTGTCTCACGACCAGAAAGGAAATCCCTTCTCCAAATTTCCAGAAACTTCGAGAACAACTTAACAGTTTCCGCTTCTCAAATTGGCGGAAAATTTGAATATCCAAAATAAAAGACGTTATCGCTACTCCCTCCAGAGACTTGATTCTTCCTAGATGTCTATCTGAACCAATCAGAATTGATGACCAAAATGACGTCACACCTTCTACACGAATACTCGGCTGAATTCAAGGATTATAAACTCTACTCTCCTTGGGCTGAGTTGGCTCGGCGATGAATCAATCCGAATCGGCGTTTGGCGCATGACAAGTTTGACACTGTTGACATGGTGTCATGACCGACAGCTAATTGACGTAAAGCGAAATAACAGATCAACAAATTCAAAACATCAACCTGAATTTATCAAATGCATCAATCAAGAAAATAATGCCAAACGAAGTTAATTGATTCACAATGATCGATTCCTAGTGAAACCATCCGTCTCAGCATTCCTGGAAAATCCAATACCTATCGTCCTACTGTGATGAAGTTTCAAGTGGAAATAGTAGTGTGAAAAGTGAGTATGACAAGTCTCTGAAATGGTATTTCATATTACCTACCTAATATTATTCATCTCTTTCAGATAAGTTTCTGTAAAAACCATCCGAATCATCCTTCTACTTGGATCACAACAAAGCAGATATAGCAAGAGATATCAATGTATTTATAGAAATTGTATTTTTATTTTATGTACAGTGTGAAATCTCAGGTGTGTATCCACATATCAGGTTTGAGAATAATTAAATAATA